GAGCACCAGGCTGTAGCTGTAGTCGGTGGACAGCACGTGGAAGCCCAACACGCCCTTCCCTGCAAGGAAGCCGCAGGCCACCTCGGCTGGACATGGGCCCCCCCCCCCACGCTGACTGGGCCCGCGCTGTCACTCACGGAACAGCAGCAGGCTCTTGTAGGTGTGGCCCGTGCGCCCCAGCCGGAGGAGCACCAGGCCGTAGCTGTAGTCGGTGGACAGCACGTGGAAGCCCAACACGCCCTTCCCTGCAAGGAAGCCGCAGGCCACCTCGGCTGGACATGGGCCCCGCTGCCCAGCATGGCACCCGAGCCTCCCCGGCCGGCCCTGGCCAGGTCACCCGGAGCAGAGCCAGCCTGACGCCCGCCCCACGCCAGGCACCTGCCAGTCCCCGCGCGCGCTCCCCACGCCGGCCCCGCCTACCGGTGTTCCTGAACACGGCCGCCTTCTTGTCTTTCCGCAGGGTCACCCCCTGGGACTGGCAGCCCCGAGACCTGCGGAGGGGCCGTGAGCGTGAGGTCGGGAGCCCCCGCCTGCCCGGCCCCCACAGGACGTCCTGGTCCCAACTCTGCTGCCCTCCGCTCCCTGGGGCCTGGGCCGGGGGACAGGGCTGCGGGTGAGAAGGAGGCTCGGGGTTTGGACCTGGAGGCTCTGCTGTTCCGAGGGCTCCAGAGTGGCCAGGGCCCGGCCCTCGGCCGGGAGGAGACACCCAGGCCCCAGCCCCGCGGGACGCCCCCGGGCTGCTGGCACCTCTCCCGGACGCGGCCTGTGGTTTCCAGGTTGGCAGAGGCGGGGCGTCTTCGTGGATCCCTGCACCGCCCCCTCCCGCCCCTCAACAGTCTGCGGAGGGGGTCAGGGGCCACCGCCCACCCCCCTCACCGGCTGAAGGCGACGGCCACCTGCAGCCGGCCCGTCCTGTGCACCTCCACCGTGGCGGCCCCCAGCTTCCTCTTGTCTCTGGCTGGCAGGAAGCCCGGGGCGTCGGTGGCGACGGCAAGAATGTACCAGAGCCCCGAGAACTGTGGGCGTGGGGGCCGGGAGCCTCCCTGAGGTGCGGTCCCCCAGGCTCCTGGCCGGAGGGCTCAGCGCACAGCCCTGCCCGGCCCCAGCTGCCCGTGTCAGGCGGAGGAGAGGCTGGTGCTGGCTCCTCAGGGACAAGGGCAGGGCCGCAGGCACCAGCAGGTCAGAGCCCCCACCCACCTCGCAGGCAGGGCCCTCCCCACCCAGCCTCCCTGCCCCCTCGCCCCTGGCTGTTCTGCCGCAGACACGAGGGCTCCAGGCTCTGTGTTCTTGGGAGCGCTGAGGCCTTGACCACCCAGGGCCGCCCCACCCGGAACCCTCTGCCCAGCGTGTGCTCACTCCCACTGCCCTGTGGGCCGTGCCTGCCCCACTGTCTGCGGGTCCCTGTCACCCTCGGCTGCAGCTCTCTGGGCCCCTCACCCTGCCCCTCCTGGGCTCCCAGTGTGGCGACCATGGGGACAGAGCCCAGGCGGCAGCCCCTGGCCTGGCCAGAGCCCGCGCCCTCCCCTCCCGCTGAGCACATCTGCCAGCCCTGCCCGTGGCATCCTGGCATGGGCACCAGTGGGCACGCGGCTCACCTTGCCCCAGTTGAGGCTGTGGGACTCCTTGGGGGGGCGCTCCTGCGGCTGGGTCCCTGTGGCCAGGACCAGCACCAGCACCAGGGCCAGGGCCAGGCCGGGCAGCAGCCTCATCCTCAGCACTCAGCCTGAGCGAGGCCCAGGTGCTGCATTTAAATCCCCTGTCCTTCCCGCTGTGGGTGTCCGTCCCACCCGGGCACTGAGCCACACCGGGTCAGCGGAGAGGGCCGGGGGAGGTGCCAGGTGTGGCCTGGGTTCTGTGCCTCTCCCTGCAGAACTGGCCTGGCCCTCACTGGCTGCCATGGTCCCGGCCTGTGTGGAGGCCCTGGGGACAACACCCTCGTGTTCCTGGAGGCCACGCTGAGGCTCTGGTCCCCTGTGGCCCTCACTGCTGTGGGCCTGGGCTCACCCATGCCTCATGTATGCTGTCACAGCCCTGGGCCACCTCACCTGGCGGTGGCACCCCTGCCTCCATCCCAGCCCCCAGGTGAGAAGCAAAGGGCCGGGGGTCCCTGGCACTGCACAGCAGTATGCATGGGCACCACCAGGGGCGTGGGCACCACCAGGGGCCTGGGCGCAGACTTGGGGGGGGTCTTCCCGAGGCCACAGTGCCTGAGCAGGTGCCAAGGGACAGTCAGGGAAGGACGTGTGTGCCTGAGCGTGCACATGTGTTCACACACGCAGGCGAGGCACACGTGTGCACAAACGCGCATACCCAGCCTCGAGGATGGCCTTCCAGGTGCACTCCCACCACCTCAGTGTGAGCTGCAGTTGGCCCCACCCACTTCCAGCCCAACTGTCCCCTTTTTGGGACCAGGAGGACCCACAGGCTCAGGCCCTTGGGGGTCCGCAGCCCTCAAGCCAGCAGCAGCCAGAGCCCAGGCAGAGGAGGCCGAGCTTGGGCGTAGGCAGCGGCCTCCTGCCAGGCCATGCGTGGTCCCTGTGACATCCAGCCACGGGTTCTGGAGGACACCAGGACTGGCCTGGTCCAGCGCCAGCCCACAGAGTGTCCTGCCCTGCACGGTCCTCCTCAGCGAGTCCCTGAGGGGGAGCAGCTCCGTGGCCAGACCCAGAGTACCCAGGGAGAGAGGAGGCGCACCGCGTTCCCGGTCCCAGACCCGGCTCTGGGCTGACTTTTGCCTCCAGTGACGCCCGACCCTCCCTGCACGGCCTTCCAGCTCCTGGCCCGCTCCAGCGCTCACGTCGGGGCTTTAGTCTGGACGCAGGGGCAACTCTGCTGTGCAGTCTCTTTATTCCAAGCCCAGAGAGCTTGCAGGAGCAGCCAGCCCAACCCAGCTCCCAGGCGGCCCAGGACACTGCAGCACCTTCAACACCGTGGTCACTGGAAATGGGAGGGGCCCTGGGTACCAGCTCCCCTGTCCGGCGTCCACCCCACCCCACCTCCTTCACGGCAGCCACCACCCATGGGCTTGGCTGAGGGTCCCCCAGGCCCAGCCTCCCCCCAGGGAGCTAAGGTGGTGCAGAAGGAGGGTTCACCTGGAGGATCCTGTGTGCACAGGTGACTGGAAGGGAAGGGGAGGTGGCTCTGAGGACAGCGCCATGGCAGCCCCAGGGCCTGGCCTGCCCGCAAGGCCTCCTGATGTGCCTCAGCCCTGCAGGCCTGACTTGGGGTGGGGTGGCTGATGCCAGGAAGTGGCCCCACCAGCCCCATCACAGCCCTGGGCATCAGAACCTCGGGGCACTCACAGTCCCTCTGTAGCTGGGCCTGCTGCTGGGACCAGAAGCCCAGGCCACTGCTCCACTTGCTGAAGACCCGCATGGCCTCCTCTCTGGCCATCTCTGTCCAACCTGGGGCAGGACAGGCGCTGAGAGCCCAAGCAGGTGGAGAGGGCCCTGCCTGGGGACAGTGTCCCAGAACCTTCTGAGGATGCCCCAGCACAGCAAGCCTCGGGGGACAGAGAACAGCCCTCGTCCAGCACGTCCAGCATTGGGGCCGTGGACAGTGCCCTCCAGCGCCCACTCACTGTACAACTCCACGGTGTTGAAGGCCTCCTCCCCGAACTCCAGCTGGGTGAAGATGATGGCGTAGTCTCTGAAGTTGGTGCCCAGCACCCGGTACTCCAGCAGGCCCAGAGCTGGAAAGCAGATGCCCCGGAGCTTGGCCTGCAGTGACAGGCTCAGCTGGGCCTCTCCTACCCCACCCTCAGCACCGGGGATGGGCTGGGGACCTCAGCTGGGCCCCCACGACATCTGGGTCATAGGCCCAAGGACCTCTCCCACCCTCAGGAGGGACACCACGCCCAATGAAGTCAGACCCTGTAGCTCAGGACTCAGAACAGCGGGCTCTGGCCCTGCCGACCAGGACCAGAGACGCCACGGGGCTGGACTCCTCCAGGGTCCCCGCCAGCCCCATCGGACGGCACTGGCGCCCTTGTACTCACAGGGGTTCTGGAACATCCATCCCGAGTCCTGCCTCTGCAGCTCCACAATGCTCTGGCTGCAGCCCTCCAGCCTAGAAATGCAGAGGGCCTGCCTAGCTCAGCGCCAGCCACCAGAGCACATGAGTGCTTAGGGATCCACTCCTGGCCAGTGGCCAGTGCCCAGGTGCCCGGAATCCCCACTCTGGGGACACAGCTGGGAAGCAACAGCGGCTTCCCTCAGCTCCCAGGGACTCAGAACACCAGACCCGTGTGAGCCCAGCGGCCACCCCGGGATTACCAGGGAAGTTAGGCCTCAGGCATCCCAGCTTTCAGCCCCGGAAGGGCCTTGTCAAGAAGACGGAGGGCACATCTTAAAGCAAGTAAGTAAAACAGACAAAAGGAACAGAACAGAGAGGCCAGACAGAAAGTCAAGTTAATAGAAAAGATACAACTCAACAAACCAGGCTAGGCCATCACTCGGTCGTGTGTTCTAGTCACGCTTCTCCCCAGAGTAAAACCCCAGCTACGTCAAAGACACTGTACCACATGCTCATAAAGACTCTGAGTTTTGAGCTGTGCCAAAGAACATCCTACTCAAAGGTAAACAAACAAAATCCAAGCCAAATCAACCACCAGATGCCCCTCACCTGCCCCGTGAGTCCCAACCCCGGCATGGGCCCTGCCTGCGTGCATCCCTGGGCTCCCGGGTGCCAAGCGTCCAGTGTGGGTGCTGGATTCCAGCAGCCCTGCCAGAGCTCACGCAGCCCCTGCTTCTGAGCCAACCCCGTGGCCCCTGTGGCCTCGCTTTGGTAGAAGCCACTGATGGGGAAGCCCCACCTGCACCCAAACCTGCAAGGCATGGCCAGGCGCGGCCAGGTGGACAGAGGGATACACCAGCTCCTTAGGGTACCTGGGGAGGAGGGTGGCACTGCGAGAAGGGGGCAGCACTGCGGGAAGGGGACAGTGCTCCCTTCCAGCCCCACATCTGCTTCAGTGGCCCGGGCCTCCCTGCACAGCCTTTCATCTGGCGGGAGATGCTGGCTGAGCCACCCCTGCCTGTGATGGGGCCCTGGCCTCTCCCACAGGAAGGGACACTGGTGCCAATGCCGCCAGCTCCCTCACTGCTGCCCCAGCACCCTGGGGCCTGCAGAGCATGTTGCCCATTGGTCAAAGTCAGCTGAGCCCAGTGGCCAGTGTGCCACGCAGCCTCGGTGACCTCATCCTGTGTAGTTCGTTCTACGCCTGAGCCAGGGCCCATGAGTCCACATGCAAAGCCCGCTTGGACTCGTGCCTCAGAAAGCACTCAGAGAGAAGAGGCCCCAGCAGCGATCGACAGCCCAGCTGACAAGGGCCAGGAAGCGGTGGGCCCGGCCCCCAGGGACACAGATGCAGAGGCGGGCAGAGGCAGGGCACAGGGTAGAGCCAGGGAGAAGGGATGGAAGGGCACAAGGTCAGGAGCAGGAGCGGGGCCCACAGGGCCCACAGGGCCCACAGGGCCTCAGGCTGAGAGGGCGGCACTGCCGCCGAGGAACCTGTGCCGGGCATGGATTGGGCGCTGCCCACTCACCCGTGCGGAGACGACGGCAGCTTGAGCATACCGTCCGGGGCGAGCAACACCAGCAGCCCCTCCACGTTCCCCGTGTCCTTCTCCAGCGTGAAGCCCTTCTCTCTGGAGGCCACAGCGAGGACGTACCAGGGCCCCAGGAGCTGCTTGGAGGCCGGCAGCAGAGCGGTCTTGGCTGTCCTCCCCAGGGCATCCTCTCGGCTAGGGAGTCCCAGGCCCCTCGTGCAGCGCGGCCCCTGCCCCCCATGCTGGTCTGGCTTGGCCCTGGGGGACCCAGAAGCTGTGTGGCCTCCCGTGAGGGGCCTGGCACGCCAAGGCCACCCTGCTGCAGGGATCCAGTCTCCCCAGCCACACGGCCTGGGCCCTGGGCGTGGACATCAAAGCCAGGAGAGGGGTCAGCTGGGCCACCCCCATCCTGCCAGAGGTCCACGCTCCCCTCACCATGGCCAGGACCTGCCCTGCTCTGGCCAGGAACTGTTTATATGGCTCTGTCTGCCTCCACGTGGGTGGCCCCTGACCGCCAACACCAGCCTGGCTGCTCTTTGTTCAGGGTGAAGTGATCCATGGGGCCCTCATTATGCAGAGTGGCCCCGTGCCCAGTCCACCCCACAGCAGGGCCGGGAGGGGCCCTGGGGATGCACAGAGCCCCACCAGGTGACCAGGCAGGCCCACCCTGCTCTCTCCACGTCCCCCCGACTGAAGTCCCCAGAAAGCATCCTACACCTGCCACCGCAGTCCCCTGCCCAGGCTGGCGCTGTCCCCCCGGGGCTGGGAAGTGCATCACCTCTGCAGGGTCAAGCCGGGGCCAAGCCAAGTCCACAGCCAGGTGCAGGCTGCTGAGGAACATAGGCCCATCCAGGAAGCTCACCCCGGGAGGTCTTCATTCCAGCCATTAAGCAGGCACATGGCCCCCAAATGTCTTTAAGATTCCCACGCCCTCCTGGCCTCCCACCCTCCTAGGCCTGCCGTAACCCCACAGCTGGTCCCTTGGCCAGACCATCCTGTTCCTTCCGCCCTCATGGACCTGCCCACTCTCTAGCCAGCTCCAGCCCTGTGTCCCAGCTCTCCCTGAGCCCTGGCCTGTCTGCACTCCCCAGACCCACAAGAGTCGTCTGCAACCTGGGCCTCCAACCCAGGTCATGGGAGGCCCGGCCAGGAAGCCTGGTAGGATCTGAGCCCACTAAGCTGAGGGAGGGGGCTGGGGTCTGTAGACCTTTCCCAGGCCTCAGCCCACACTAACCGCCCACTGGGCTTCAGCATCAGCAAGGACCCATGGAGCAGGTGAGGAGGCTGGGGGGGTGTGGCCCACACGAGGCTGCCTACACCCCTCGCAGGCTGTCCTGCTCCGACCCTGAGCCCACTTCAGGCCACACACATGACTCTTCACCAACAAGCAAGGCTGTGGCTGAGTCTGTGAGGGCCACGGCCAAGGGTGCTGGAACAGAACCAAGGGGCAGGCGGATCTCAGATCCAGAAGGTGGGTCAGCTGGGCCCAGACCCACAGAGACCCCACCCGCCGGCCCTGAGAGGGCTGCAGAGGCTGGTTCTCAGCAGAGCCACCAGGGAGCACTGTGGCCAAGCCCAGCACTGGGTGCCCAGCTGTGGGGACACAGGACCCCGGGGGGAAAAGCCAGGCCACTGACTCCAAGCTGCCAGGGGCATCGCCGGGTGGCCTGCATGGAACAGAGACCCCGATGTAGGGGAGAAGGTGCTGGGGCCTGTTGGTCCGGGCAAGTTCAGCTCCCTCCAGGGCCCTAAGGCAGGGCAGCTGCAGACATCAGGAGCTGGCAGTCCCTGATCCAGCCCCAGCCTCCTCGGCCCAAGTGTTGCTGGGCTCGGCGGCCTCCTGGACTGTCGCTAGGGATAACATCAGGCTTCAAGGCGTCTAATGAATGCGGCCCCTCCGGGTCCCACTGTGAGGAGCCAGGTGGCCTCCATGGTCAGCAGGTGGCCTGCAGCTGCCTGCTGACAGTCAAGGGTCTGGGCTCGGCCTCCATGGCTTGCTCCGGCCAGATCCAGCTCAGGGTCCTGTGCACGTCTCGGCTCCCAACTGGCTCCCACCCTCTGTCCCACTAGGGGCTCTGAGCCCGCAGTGTCCCCATGAGCAGCCCCGCCACTCCTGCTCCCGGCTGAAGGTCCTGCCCTCCCCTGCAGGTGTCCTCTTAGGGCCCCAGCTGGCGGGCCCTGCTTCCCTGGGGTCTCCGAGGACCCAGCAGTCACCAGCCTGGCGGGCACCTTGGGGCCTTGGGCTCCTCCTCAGGAAGCGGGGGTGGGGCAGGACAAGCCCTGCCCTCAGTGGCCATGACTGCGGCTGCAGCTGGTCCCTCTGTCCCCATGGCTGCTCGCAACACCAGCTGCCTTGCATTCCATCGTGCCTCTGACCACACCCTGGGCTCTCTGTGCCCAGCCAGGGACGGAAGAGGCCGCTCACCCTCCCGCAGGGATGCACCAGCTTCGGGATGGGACCGCGCCACGGCTTCCTGTCCACCCAGCCCCATCCCTGTGGTGGCCACATGCTGTCCACAGGGTGCCAGGCAGCCAGCACCCCTCCAGCACAGGGGCGGGTGTGGAGAGGCTGCCCACCCCCAAGACAGCAGTGTGCACTGCCGCCTGTCCAGGGGCCACACGCTTCTGTCGGCCAAGGGAACCGAGGGCAGACAGACACCATCCAGGCCCATGGCTGCACCCCCACTGCTGTGGGCCAGAGCCTGCACCCCAGAGCTCACGCTGAAGCCCTCATCCTGGGAGGAAGGTATGAGAGGTAGTCAGCCTCGGGTGAGGGTGTTCGGCTGGGGCTCCCACAGGGGGGTCAATGCCTAAAAAGAACAGATAGGAAGGATCTGCCCCCCAAAGCAGACAGACAACCACATCACCCCCAAAAATGCCATCCATTAAGGAAAATTTACAGCCAAGCACAGTGGCGCATACCTATGATCCCAGCACTCTGGGAGGCTGAGGCAGGAGGCTCACAAGTTTAAGCTCACCCTGAGCAGCTTAGCAACTTTACAAAAGCTTGTCTCAAAAAATACACAAATAAATAAGGATGGGATGCAGCTCAGCATGAAGGCCCCGGTTCAATGAGAAAGAAAAAGAAAGGTTATACCCACACAGTACTAGATGCACATAAATTAGGAATCGTAAACCACTAGCTGCCAACCCTGTTCATGAAGTGGAAAAAGTCATCTTTACCTTTTCTTAGCTTCTACGAAAAGAAACAAAATAAGAATTTAAAACACTTTGCCTGATAAAAATGGGCCCACTCCCAAAAAAGGAGAAGAAGAAAACTGTAACAAGACTCCAAATGGAGTCAAACATACTAAGGCAAATATTCAAGGGTATTAAAAGAAAATCTCGAATGAGGAGTGTTTTAAAGGTAGCAGAAGAAACAAGTACCAATAGGAGTGAAATGAGTTGCTGTGCTCAGAAAGAACTGGGTACTGGACATTAAAGGTAAAGGAGAATCCCCTGGCTCCCCAGGTAAAATGACCAAGGTCAGCTCAAGGTGAGAGACCTGAGCTGGACACAAGCGGGCCAGGCGGGCAGGACCCCAGGAGCAGGGCCCACACCCCTGACCGAGAGGGAGGCCAGGGGTGAGCACGAGGAGGCTGGTGTGTGAGGAGGCCATGCATGTGATCACCTCTGGTAAACAGGGAGCAGAACGCACACAAACTGGTCACCTACACAGCTCCAAAGAAAGCACCTGCACCCTTCTTAAAGGAGAAATTCCCCAAGCAACCTTCAAATTGGAGGCTCCCGATGGCCAGGGTGGACACCTCCCAGAGCAAGCTCAGCTTCCAAAGGGGCAGGACCAGAGCCTGGCTCCAGTGGGGCTGGCTGCGTCCACTGTGGGCCCTGGGAGGTCGAAGACATTCACCAAGGGCTTGGTCCTCCCTGATCTCTTCCACCTGGGGGTGGCGTCCGGCTGCTTCTCCAGCACCAGGGCGGGGCCGCAGGAGTGGAGAGGGAGCCCCTGTGACACTGAGTCGCTTCCTGTGGGAGCAGCCCCGAGAGTGGCCACAGGAAACCTGAACGATGTTGGGAGGACACTGGGGCAGGCTGTCCCTGTCCTTCCTCAGGGGACCACGGGGGAGCACGGGGAGGCGGGAGGGGCACGACAGCTTCACCAGCAAGCGGGGAGGCAGGCGTTTTTCAGCTGGCTCCACTTCACCCCACCCTGCCGTCCACGTCCACTCCCTGCTGTTGGGCTGCAAGCTGCAGCAGTCACTGTGGGGAGACCAGCAGCTGCACCAAAGCCACACAACCACGTCCCTCTGATCCAGCACCCCCACCTCCGGGAAAGATGCACAGTGCTTTTGTGCCACTTTTCCTGTCTGTGGAACCCACCAGGGCCCCCTTCCGACCCACACAGAGAAGCAGCGCCAAGGACTGCGTCCCACCCCGTCCACTGGAGCACCCATGTGGCCCGGGGGAGCAGGGAGGCGGTGCAACAAGGACTGGGCTGGGGATCCAAACCCCAAGGCACAGAAAGCGGGTGGATGGAAAGCCAGAGAAGCGCCTGCACGCTGCTGCGGCAGAAAGGGGCCGGGGGTTTAGCTCAGTGGTTTCGCTCCCTGCTGCGCAAGCACAAGGACCTGAGTTCGATCCCCGGCACCAAAAAACATAAAATAAATAACAAATACATGGCATAGCCCAGTAAAGGAGGAGGTAACTTTCCAGCAGTGTTTTTCTCTGTATCCTCAGGGAGAACAAAGGAACTGAAGCAAGCTCAGGGCTGCAGCTGGCAGGTGGGTTCCACAGCACTGGGGAGTGGTGCTTGCTGGGCACGTGCTCTGGGACCATGGGTGTCTCAGTGTGGAAAAGCAGGCCATAAACCAGAAATCCAGAAAGGGGAAAGGAAGTGGGCCTGTGGTGTTAGGCAGGAGTCACAGGTGTCCACATGAGCTGTGGTTTGGGTACCGATGGGACAAGAGGAAGGAAGGGAGAGACCCGCCCCAGGCCGTGTCACTGAGAAGGGCTAGACATGATCCAGCCCTAATGAAGGAAAGCCCAGTGCGCCTGGCATGGTTTCCTGATACCATTCCATGTGAAAAGGAACCAGGACTCCTTGAAGAAATTACTCTTACACTGTGTCACAGAAAACACAGAAGAGCTTGGGGTCTTTTTTGGTGCCAGAGCAAAATGTGCTCCAGAAATCAGGCCAATGTGGCCAAAAATGTAGCGACAAAAGGATCAAAATTCTCAGTACCCAGACTTCTCTGCTGACAGATGCTGCCCGCCCTCACATCCTGTGCAGCCCTGAGGCCCTGCACTGACACTGACCAGAAACAGCACAAGATAAAAGCCAGCACAAAACCAGTCTCCTCCCAATGAACAAACGCCCCATCCTTCCAGAAAAGGTGGAAACATACAGACCTCCTTAGCTAAGTCTGAAGGGCCTTTCAATGAGGCCCTGGTGAGGACACTACTGTTTGCTATTCTGGTGTACAACTTTAGAAATGGTAAATGTGTTCCTGAAGGACCAAAAGGCAGACATCCCGGGAGAAACATCCCTGTCCCTTGGGCCTCTGCGAGGCTCTCAGCCCTTCACGTGCCCCCTTCAGACTGGGGCTATGACATGCTTTGTCCTCAGCTTCATGGACACCTTCTTTTTCCTTGTCATTTGTTACTAAATTCATTTTTTAAATTTTCATTTCATTCATTATACTTTTCAGTTCTACAATTTCCATTTTTCATAGTTCCCATTTCTTTGCTGAATTTCCCTCTCTGCTCAAGGTTTGCTAAGGGAGACACTTTCCCGTGTCTTCCGTCCCTTATAATCGCTCACTCTGACTACAATTTCTCTCTTAGAAACCTGCCCACTGTCCCACTTCACAGTGAACCCTGATACAAATAAACCCGTGCCTCATCGAATCCTTGGCTGTTGCTAAATTCTTTTACCACCGTGTCATTGGCCCTCCATCTGACATAGCAAAGAATAATCCACGCACGCCATCTTGAAACTGAGAAGATTGGACGGATCTGAGTGTCAAGATAAATGACAAGAGTAGAGGACCCGCAGGAGGACCCGAGGATTCCTAAGTCCAGGCCAATAGGAATGAGCGGCTGCATGGGGAAAGGGAGAGTCGACCTCTCAGACCCACTCAGCCACCACTCCTGGGGCCCAGGAGTAGAGCCCTGTACATCTGAGTCCCGCCTACCACCGCCTCCGGGGGCCTGAAGAGCAGCCCCGTGTCCTCCCATTGCACCAAAGACATGCAAGGGATCAATGCTGTCCACTTTCATTGTCTAAAACTACCTTAAGAGGCTAGGGGTGTAGCTCAGGAGTAGAGCACAAGGCCCCGAGTTTGATCCTAGTATCTCAAATAAATAAATGACTGTGGGGCTGGGGATTTAGCTCAGTGGTTTCGCCACCTGCTGCGCAAGCGCAAGGACCCGAGTTCAATCCCCGGTACCAAAAACATAAATAAATAAATAACCTGTGCTTTCCTCCCATTTTTAAAGATTGTTTTCCCTAGAAATAGAAATCCAAGCTGATTTTTTCTTCCAGCAATTTAAAGATGCCCTTCCACCATCTCCAGCTTCCGCAGTCTGCCACGAGCAGTCATCCAGCTGCCCCATCTGTGTCCAATCTGCAGAGCCCTTAAAATTGTCCCCAAATCACTGGTTTGGGATATGCTGACTGTTATGTCCCTCGGTGTGGTTTTCTGGACTTTTTCTTTGTTTTACCGCACTTACATTTCCGTGAACTTCTGGGGTCTCTGAGTTGATGTTTTTATCAAGTCGGGGATATTTTGTGAAGCAGGGAGATAATGAGACTTGGAGAGAATGAACCACGAGTCCTCCATCCCGGCCTCTCAGGATCATACTGTCAAAGTCCTGACCCTCTGTATCACTGTATTTAGGATGAGGGCCCTCAGGAGGTGACAGCCGTCTGGTGAAGTCAGAGGGTGAGGCCCTCACTCATAGGGCTGTGTCCTGGCAGGGCAGACAGGAGACCACCCAGAGCACTCTCAGCCCCATCGCACCCTGACCCCGTGTGCAGATGGTAAGCAGGCGGGCGTCCACAGCCGGAAGAGACCCCTCACCAGAACTGAATTTCCAGCCTCTTGATCTTGGACCCGAGCCTGCAGAACGGTGTGGAATAGAATCTCTACTAAGGCCCAGTCTGTAGTGCTATGTGCGGTCACAGGCTAAGCCCTTTGACCTTGAGCTTGGAGCAAGTGCTGGCGAGATGACCCCAGGAAACACGTTGCTCCCCAAGACCCCAACAGGCCAAGACTCGGGCACTGAAGGTCTGTCCCTGGGGACCCTGTGGAGCACGGTCCCAGAATGAAGGTGCACCTGGGTGTGGCCTTGCTCCTGGCAGGGCCTTTCTGAGGTCCTGGCAGGTCCTGGGGGTCAGTGGGTCTGTCCACTCTCCAGGGGTGGACCCTACCGCCCAGCACTGCTCAACCCCAAGCACCACCCTCCTGCCTCCTCCTCGAGGCAGCTGTCCCTGCACATGAGGGGACAGGCTGACCCCAGAGCCCTGCACTGAGAGCACCCCACGTCCCCTGCCTTGCTGATCTCCAGCCTCAGCACCACACCAACTGGTGACAAGAAGCAGGCAATCAGAGAGTGACAGCACCAAGTTCCGGGGTGTGCGAGTGTGATTCGGACCCAGACTCCATGACTGGCTAGGCGGAAGGGTCAGGGCTGGGCGAGAGGGGACCAGGCAGAGGCCAGGAAAGTCCCCCACCTCCAGGAGGGCCTGGGACACGCGGCTGTGGGGTTGGAGCTCCAGGCAACACCAAGCCATGGGAGAACCCAGGAGGAGCGAGTGGTCCCCCTTCATTTCCAAGGCCGTGGAGACTGCACGGGAGTCTGGCTCTCAGCTCTGCTCATGTGCGGCCTAGCCTGGGGCTGCCCAGGGTGAGAACGATGCTGGGGACCCACAGTCCGAAGGCAGCAGGGCTGGGAGGAACCGCTGGAGACAAGTGAGCACAGCCCTCACAGGTCAGCCACAGCCAACACGCCGCTGTCTCTACCTGGGGCAGACAGGGGCCCCTGGCACTCACCGGCCACCCTCACCCGCCCCCAGGAAGGACACTTGGGCAGCAAGTGTGGCAGCGGGTTTTATTGAGGGCAGGTGCAGGTGGCCCCTCAGGGAGGCCAGGAGAGGCAGGGCGGGCAGCTCTGCTCGGGGCCTGGGCAGGGGCTGCTCTAAATCAGCCGCTCCACTCAGAAGGGTGGTGCTCAGGGCTCTGCGTGGCCTCAGGGTCCAGGGGCAGGGAGCCTCCCCTTCTTCCGTCTCCCACCCAGCTCAGTACCCACATTCCCCAGGGCCCACCTGACAGCCTGGGTCTTCCAAAGCATGAAAGAGACGCATCTCTGGAGCTGGCCTCAGTGCTCTTGGGTGTCCTGATCAGGGGACTGGGACAGTCCTCCCACCCATCGCTGGGCCCAGAGCCTCTGGGACTGTCAGGGCTGCTGGGACCAGGGGCTGCAGGTGAGGACGCAGGCGCACCTCCCTTCGGAGAGGGCATCGTGAGAGGCCGGCAGGAGGCTGTCACACCCAGCAGGGAGCCCAGCCCTGCTGCTGTGGCCAAAGGAGCAGCTGGCCCGGAGGGGACACCAGAACCCTCTTGATCTTAAGGACCTCAAAGCTGCCTGGTTCTGAGCTTGGATCTGCCTGCTAGGGGGTGTGGCTGAACGTCCTGCCCAGCTGCCTGGCAGACCCCAGACCCCTCTCAGCTTAGCTCCTTCCTGTCTGTTGGGAAGGACAGAGCGGACAGAGCCCCTTCCCCAGGGCACCCGTGCACCCTGGACTCAGGAATGGGGGACTCACCTGCAGCGCCTCCACACAGGCCGCTGAGGACAAAACAAAGGGGCCACGTGCAGGGAAGGGCAAGGCAGGCCTGACCCTGGGGTGACAGCCACTCACTGTCATGCTGGCCCAGGTGGAAGTCTGGCTCCTGGAACCCATGCTCCTGGGCTACCTCACGGAACTTCTGCAGGGCGCTCTGCTTGTGGTCCAGGCTCCGGCCTGTGAGTGAGAGTCAAGGCTGGGCCTTGGGGACAGCCACACATCCTCAAGGATGCCCCTCGCAGCACCGGGGCCCCACAGCAAGGCTTGGCACCGCCAGACGAGCCCAGCCTGGGCTCACAGTAAAGCTTCCTGACACGATGGCTGGCGCCGCCTGCCGTGGAGAGGATGTCCATGATGGTGTAGGTCTCGTAGTCTGTGCTCAGGGCCTGGGCCTCTCTGCTTCCTGGGGGTCGAGACGAATACCAAGCATCCCTGGGGTCTAAGAGCGCACTCACAGCGGGTACACACACACACACACACACACACGCCCACGTGAGCACCAACACACGGGCACCCACACACCAGCAAGGCCTGGAGACAGCACCTTCACCACCCTCTCTGGTGATCGTGGCTGTCCCTGGAACGACCTTCTTGGGGGCTATGCTCTTCTCCACCATGCAGCGGCCCTCACTGGAAGAGCAGGACACGCTGCTGAGCGGATGCCCCTGGGCACCAGGCCCGGGCTCTGCACCCAGAGAGCAAGCCTGCAGCGGGCAGACACTGATGGAAGCCTTCGCGATGCCACGCACACAGCACAGCCAGGCAGGACCCAGGCACTGAGGGCCCCCAGGGGACCAGGCTGAGTCCCGGCCAGGGGCCTCCCTGGGAGGCCTTCACGCCTCGTCCCACTCACTGAGGCACACTCGGGACGAAGGACCCCGGGGCAACAGACACCACCAGGCACCCCGCTGTCCCCCATCTGGCCTGGCCCCACTCACTAATAGGTGGCAGTCAGGGCCAGGGGCCCATCTTCCAGCTGGAGCGGCACACCCCTCATCCTCTCCACCTTGGGGGCTCGCCGCAGGCACCCGCCTTGACGGCGAAGGTGATCTCATACCACTGGCCTGCAGACTGGGCACGGGAGAGGAAAGGAGCTGCCCGGGTGCCCCAGCCGACCCCTTGCCAGGGCCGCAGCAGCAGCATGGAACATGCCAGGGACAAGAGGGCACCCCAGGCAGGGCCAACCCCACAGGGCAGCGCCGAGCTCAGCCCAGGACCCACACCCACCTTGGAGGAGTCAAAGTCCTTTGTCGCCGTGGCCTCCTCTGAGGCGGCCGGCAGCCCCAGGCACAGCCCCAGCAGGGCCAGGAGTGCACTGCCCCACATGGGCCACAGGCAGGCACGGGCCAGCTCTGCCAAGTGCTTGGGTCATGGCCAGGGCGACAGCTCTGCCTCTGCATCCGGGCGTGGGCGCTCACAGGGCACAGGCTGGCTCTCCTGGGTCAGCTGGCAGCATGCGGTGGACCTGCTGGGGCAGCCCGCCCACCCCCGCACTGTGCTCCCCAGTAACCCCACTGCTCGTCCAGCTGGGCAGGGGGACTGTGACCCAAGTAAGACCCCTCAGGCCCAGGACGTGGACACGGAGCATGTGGGGCTGCTGGGCACACACTGGCCAACCTGCAGGCAGCCCAGGCGCCAGGGCTCCAGGGCACAATGCATGGCTGCCCAGCCCTTTGTGTGTCAGAGCAGCAAGGAGTGGGCTGGACCCTGGAACCGAGCCCCCGGTGCCCTGCCCGATACTCTGAATGAAGCAGCCTCTCAGTCAGCTGAGGGCAGGGCTCGTGCCCGCCCCTCTCCTGCCATCTCTCCCCTCGCCACAGGATCTGGAACGGCCACCCCCAGCGGCCGTGGAGCACTGGCTCCAAGCTGCAGGACACCTGCCCGGTCCACGCAGCAAAGGGGCAGCACTCATGACCCCTGCCCCCGGGTGACAGGCCAGGCCCTGACCTTGCCGGGCACAGATCAAGAGAGGGGGACTTGCCGGCACCCCACAGGGAGTGTGGTGAGAAAATGGGGGAGAGACAGAGACAGAGACAGAGACAGAGACAGAGACAGAGACGACTGACCGGCAGCCAGGGGAAGTGGATGGTGACTGGGCTTGGCAGCCACAGCCCCAGTCTGCCCCTGGCTGATTCAGGCCAGGCCGGGGCTCCCTGGCTGACCTAGGACCCAGCACTGGCTGCCCAGGCCTGGTGGCGGAGCAGCAGCGAGGGTCAGGACCTGCTGCCCCTGGCCGTCCACACCCGCGCCCGGGCAGGCTCCCGGCCCCCACCCAGCAGCCTCACCATGCACGCTGTCCTGTCTTGGGGAGTTGATCTGAGAATTGCGCTTTGTGTGCGGCCTTCAAAGGCATCGGAGCAGTGCAGGGCTGGGCCTGGGGGGGCGTGGACGGTGCCCCCATCATGGGCCCTGTGGGGTGCACACCGGCGACCCCAGGCCGAGAGAGCAGAGGGTGGACAGGAATCTGTGCTGCGCCTTCTGACAAAGGACCTGCATTCACCTTCGGGTGCTGCCATCTCTGCAGCCAACCTGTCCGGGCCACTTGCGTGCTGGGCCATCTCCAGACACAGCGCGGGGGCCCAGGAATGGCTCTCGTCGGGGCCCTCGGGGCAAGCGTCCCCCGGCCTCACTTGCCCACCTGTCTGGTAGGGATGAGGCGCTCTGGGGCCCTGGGGATGAGAGGGCGGCACAGGGGACACTGGCCCGTGCTGGGCTTCAGCTCCACCCAGCCAGGTCTGTGCAGCCCTGCACCTCCCATGAGGGCACAGCCTCCACCCCTGCTGCCAAGAGAGAGGACAATGCAAGGTCACAGCCGCTAAAGGAGCAGGGCTGGAGGCCCTGGGGACAGGAGCCCAGGGCCACAGTCGCCATCTGGGGTAGAGAGGTCCCCCCTGCCACCCCACCTGCCACCCTTGGCCCTGCCCCCAGGAAGGACACAGGCACAGGTGTGGCAGTGGGCTTTATTTGGGGGCAGGGGCAGGTGGCCCCTCAGGTGGGACAGGAGAGGCAGGTGAGCAGATGCAGCTCGGGGCCCAGGCAGGAGTCACTCTAAATCAGCCGCTGAACACAGAAGGGCGGTGCCCAGGGCCCTGGGTGACCTCGGGGCCCAGGGACACAGGTTAGAGCCACAGCTGGGGGACTGGGGGCCTTGCTGCCTGGCTTTGGAAAAGCACCCGGCCCCCTGCGAAGTGGGGTGACAGTGCCAACCTCTAGGGCTGGGCTGAGACAAAATGGGATCATGCTGGTGGTGGGTCAGCACAGTGCTGGGCACAGGGAGCCTGAGCCAGTAACCATGGCCCCAAGCCCCCACCGCAGCAGGACCTGAAGGGCAGAGCCACTGGCAGCCCCACAAGGGGACAGGCATCAGGGGACAGAGACAGTCCTCCCACCCAGGGCAGGATCTGGAGCCTCGGGGACCATCAGGGCTGTGTGGGGTGGGGGCTGCAGGCAGAGGACACAAGCTCACCTCCTTCAGGAGCTCGGCGCACCTCCCTGCGGACAGGGGGGCGTCTCACCCAGCAGGGAGCCCCGGGCCTGAACTTACCGTGCTGGGCCACCAGGTAAAGGCCTGTGTCCACTGTCAGCTCCCGGAACTTCCTGAAGCCCGGCTCATCCTCATCCTCCAGACCCCGAGCTACAGGCACAGGGACCTGCTGGGCAGGCCTGGGGTGGCGCAGAGCAAAGCGCCCCCCCACACCCCCGAGCTTACTGAGGTACTTGAGCATGGGGACATCCTTGCCCCGCCACACCAGGGACACCCGCAGGATGGCATAGTGCTTGTAGTCCGTGTCCAGCATGTGCATTTCCCTGTGGCCTTGGGGCAGCGGTGGGGTCGGGGACGTGTGCCACACAGCACCCCGGTGGGGGGTGACCTGAGGCTGGGCTGTGGGGCCTGATGCCACCCCCTCCCTGTCCCAGGCCCGGGAGCAGCCCTGAAGGGTGATGCTGCGGTGGGGGCCCTGAGGAGCCAGGGCTCAGGGCACAGCACGGCCGGTTGGGGACAGGGCTGCAGCCACAGGGAGCTGCACTCACCGGGAAAAGCAAATCTCCCTGCGCTGCCTCCTTCTGAGCCCACTGTTGTTTCTGTCTCACGGCTCCCTCAGCTGAAAGGTGGCACCGTGCTCCTTAGGAACCTGCCAGCCTGCGCCCCACTGCTGGCCCGGTCCCGCCTCCCCAGGGAGACCAGCTTCCTGGGCTCCTCCTGGTGAGGGCCGAGGGGGTGGAGCAGCCCCTCTTTCCTCTCCTACACATTTCAGGGGCTTCGTCTAACCCGGCTCGGCTCGTGATAGGGAGAAAATGCAGATCTGGGCGCCGGGGAGTCAGGGGCCGATCCCACGGCAGGCCCAGGCCTCTCACTGGTTAAACACGACCTTCACAGTCAGGTTGCTCCCGCTCACGGTGCGGAACACCCCCTCTATCCTCTTCCGGGTCTTCAGCACCAGGTTCTGGTCGGAGGCCACACCAGCTTCCCGCCAGAATCCTCCAATCTGGACAGAAGAGCTGGAGCTGTCTGAAGCTTGGGACACTCAGCGGAGACCCTGTCTCTGGGCCCCGGGGGCAGCTCAGGGACCCCTGGGCAGGGGGCTGGGGGCTCTGAGAGGTCAGCAGATGGACACAAGTCTTGGCAACAAGGCAGCAAGATGTCCCGGAAGTTGCCAGGTGTGGTGGCGCACACCTGTAATCCCAGCACTCAGGAGGCTGAGGAAGGAGGATCCCTTCAAGTTCAAGGGCAGCCTGAGTGACACAGTGAGACCCTGGCTCAAAAAAGAGAAGTCCCAGAAGCTACTTCTCCACCTGTGTCACCCTTAGGCGATCGGACGGCAGTGCCCTTCTCTGCCCAGGAAGCTGAACTCTGCTGCTTTCTGGCAGGGCAGGAGGAGGACCCAACAGAGAATAGTGTGAAAACCACCAGGGCAAGAGGCTAGGGTGTCACAGTCCGAGCCTGGCCTGGTGGTCCTGCTCTGCGGCCTCTCCAGGCCAGGCCCAACTCCATGTCAGGATCTGCCTGACCCCAGGACTTCACTAGAACCCTTGAATCTGCTGCCCCAGCTCCATCCCCTCGGAGCTGTCAAAGAGCACTCCGGAAGGAGGAGAAGCAGACTGGAAACATCTCGGGGACCCACCCATCCAAGGTGGGGGGGACCTCGCAGGACCCCAGCCCTGAGAAACCCCGCAGAGGGGCCTAGCTGAGGACTCTGCCACCCACATGGCACCTTGGACCCCTGAGGCCCTGGGTCCCTGAGCAGCGAGCCCGCTGGCCAGGGTGGGAGGGAAGGACACTGGAGTGGCCAGGACCCCCCAAGGCAGCGTGAGCCCTGGACAAGAAGAAATCACCTTCTGCTGGTCCAAGACCTCCAGGGCCCACCCGGCGGGCAGCACCCCGAGGACGCCCAGGATGGCGCTCAGCAGCCTGCCCAACATCGCGCCCGGATCCCCTCGCCCACAGTGCCTGCCGGGGTTTATACTGGAGAGCAGGCCGGCATGTGCAGCCACCCGGAGAGGCGCCCTGGTCACCCTGGCCACCACCTGCCCTGAGACGCCCAGTGTTCCTGCATGAGGGCCACCTGGCCAGTGACACTCACGACCCCGAGTTGGCAGAGGCCACAGCGTGAGGACAGAGGTGGATACTGCCATGCGGCCATCGGGGGAATGGGAGGCGGCCCCATCCACTGCAGGGGACAGAGGCCGTGGCTCTCCTGTCCACCAGGGCCCACCGTGAGGGCCGGGCTCAGCCCTGACCTGCAGCCTCCTGCAGCCGGAGCGCACCGGGCCACAGCCCCCTGGCTGGCCTCGGTTCTCCCCTCCTCCCAGCGGGCTCCCCAGAAGCAACATCACTGCACTTTCTGGCGACCCCAGGACCAGCTGTGTGATTCGGGGACCAGCAAAGATAGAAATGCAGGGGAGCCCACGCCCTGGTCCCCACTCTGTCCCTTACTGGGAGGCGTGACAGACCCCAAGAGAAGGAACTCAGGCCTCCAGGCAACAGCCCTGGCCCTGCCACCTGCAGCGTGACACAGGCAGGCTGCTCTACCCCAGTTTCCCCACAAGTAACAGTGCTGAATTTCTGGACGGTGACAGGTCCTGCCTGGACCCCTCCCTGATGCCCTGCACTCCCGGGACCACCTCTACCCCACACTCTGACCCCCACACTCTGTCCAGCGAGATCACTTTGGCTATGGTCAGGCCACAGATTTTTCTTTTTAAGGCAAACTTTTTATTTTCAAAAACAACTTTATCTGTGACACATATTTTTTAGAAGCCCTATGGAAATAAACTGAAAAAATAAAGAACATTCTCCTTCTATCTTCCCATTCCCGCTCCCTCCAAATGAAAGGGAAAGAGGCCAAGTGTGGCTGTGGGCCCCTCCTCCCAGTGGCTGGGAGGCTCTGGCACTGGTGCCATGAGGCCGTGGTCACCTTGGGTCCAGGGCTCCAGCTCACCAGCCTCCCATAGCAGAGTGTGCAGGACCCGGTCCTGGGGGGGCAGCCTTCCCACCTTGGGCCTGGCCTGCTCAAGGGCAGGGACTCAGCTGCTGTGGGGTGGGGAACAAGTCAGGCCAGGCCAGAGCTAGCTGTCACACTGGGGACCGGGGGGGCCCCCCAAAGAGCTGGGAAGGGGTAACGGGACAGACTGACCCTGGCCGCAGGGGCTGCAGGGACAGGGCCTGGCAGGGGTCTGGAAGTGGCATGTGGGCAGCTGGTTGTCTGGGTGCCAGGGCATCTGATTGCTTCCGCTCCTGCCCTAGGAGGGCACAGACGCTGAGGAGCAATGGACCAGAACCCCCAGCAGCTTCCTGCACCCCCACACCTGGCCCTTTGAAGTGTGGGTACTGGAACTATCCGCAGAACTGGGGCACAGCTTCGGGGAGAGGACCACCCACATCTCATGTCCTGAGACAGCATAAACCCGCACGTCAGAGCCTGATCCCTGGGCTTGAACTGGCCATGGACCTCCAACAACCTGCTCAGCCTTTCTGTGCCTCTGCATCCCAGCGCTGAGGAGGAAAGATGGGATGGCGGTGTGCGTCCAGGGCTCGGCCGGGAAACACACGGCTGGCCAGCAGGGTGAGGCCAGGGCGTGCGCTGGGCTCAATCCCTTTCCTGTGGCTCCTGGAGCCTTAAACCACGTGCCCAGATCCCAGCAGTGGTGAAGCCAAAGCCCACACACGGTGCACTGATAGCCCCTGCCACTCTGCCCACCTCAGCCCCCGGCTCACGTGCGCCCAGCAGAGCCCCACTGGTAAGGGGCGCCTCCTTGGGGCACCTCAGGTTCCCTGCAGGCACTGTGAGCCTGACCACCGGCTCCCACCCCCTTGGTCAGCGGATCCCAAGTAGCCAAATCCTCTTCCCTCCTACCCCCTGCCTCAGTCTCCCCAGGAGAGCCGGGGTCAAGACAGGGGCCACTGCACCCTCCCCAAGGCCATCCCCAAAGAGGTGCGAATCTGTGAGGCTGCAGAATCTGTTTATTGGTTGGGACGGGGGAGGCAGGAGGATGAGGGGCGGCCCAAAGTGGTCCCCAGGGGCGGCAGGTCTCAATGAGCTCCTCGGGTGGTGAGGTTTGATGCTCCAGAGTTGTCCTGCACAGGAGAGGCACAGCCACTGTGTCCACCCTGCTGCCTCCCACAAGCCAGCACTGCCTCCAAGGCCACCCCACCAGGCCAAGGAGACCCATTCTGCACTCAGACTTCTGCAAACGTGGACACCCTCACTGTTGCTGGTTGGGTGGGGTCATCACAGGGCCCTGTCACTTTCATGAAGCGACCAAAGTGACAAGTATACCGACCCCAGGGCTATGTGACACTGACCCACGCCCTGGCAAATATTCCCAAAGCCACCTCATGACGGCGGGAGAGGTAACTGCCCCAAGACTTGTTCCAACCCTGTGTCCCTGCCACAGAGATAAACAGCCCAAGAGAGAAGGAGGCCAGAGCAGAGTAAAGCTCAGAAGTCCCCAGGATAAGGACAAAGGCCAGATCTGAAGGAATGCCCACCCACTGTGCAGCCCTGCACTGCTCTCTGTCAGGCCAGCCCTGGCCAGGCTGCAAAGGCCTTAGATGCTGGTCATGTCGTGGGCCATGCAGGACTCAGCTTATGTGGGTGCCCACATTCCTGGCAGTGGACTTGGGCAAAGGACCCCATGGTTTTCTGGTGTCTGATCCCCAAGTTTCACCAGTATTGGGGCCCCCAAGGCTCCCAAGACCTAGCCCTGTGGTAGGCAGGGAATGAGGTGGTAGCTCCACCCTGTGAGGCCCTGGGGAGGGAGCCTGGGGTGCAGTGAGCTGAAGAGTGTCCCCCAAACTTCATTCTCCCAGAAGCTCTGAACAGGACCTCATCTGGAAATGGGGTCTTTGTAGATGTCACTGGTTACGGGTCTCGAGACAGGATCACCCTGGACTTAGGGTGGACCTAATCCAGCGATGGCAACCTTAAGAGGAGAGGGGAACTTGCATGCAGGCCACAAGGGGCAGAGGCCAGATGACGGGCAGGGACCACATGACACTGCCTGGGACAGGGAGCTATGGGTAGAGGAACAGGCCCGGCAGGGGTTCGAAGAGCCGCCCAAGATCAACCCTGCAGGCTCCTAGATTGAGCTCTTGGCCCCCAGCACTGGGAGAGAACTTGGGTCTTTTTTAGGCCGCCCAGTGCGTGGGTCTCTAGCCCCGGAATCAGAGCAGGGTTCCCGGGACAGGAGGTGTCTAAGGTGAGGCCCGAGGCCAGGGGTCCTCCCTGCAGACCTGGGGATGGGATCTACACAGCGATCTCAGGGGGAACAAGGAGGAGCAAGGAGCCAGGGCAGCCCAGGGAGAACCTGGAGAACTCACCGGGTCCTCACCCTGGGTGGGGCTAGGGCTGGACCCCGGGGGCGCCTGCGTGCCCCTCTGCCCCGGGGAGCACGCATCTGTGGGAGGAGAGGTCCTGAGACGGGCCGGCCCGACAGTGCCCCTCCCCGCGGGCAGAGACTCTGCAGGCCAGGAGGGGCCGCCCACACGCCGCTCTGGGAAGGCGAGGGGCGGGGAGAGGGGCGGGGCAGAGGCGGTGGGCGGGGCGGGGCACCTGACTGCGGCAGCCTAACCACCAAGTCGTCCTGGAGCCCCACCGTCCGGTAGAAGTCCTGGAACGCCCTCAGCGCCTGACAGGTCGCGTCCTGGGTGCGGCCTGGGGCAGAGTGGGGCCACAGTGAACCCCGCAGGTCTCGGGGTCACGACGGGGCCCAGGTGAGACGGAAGCAGGGTCACTTCGCTCCCCTGGGGCGGACAGCCTGGCAGCCTAGCTGGGCAGGCTGTGTAGTGGGGGCAGCCAGAGGCCTCTCCTCCCAGACCCCGTCCCCTGGGCCTCCTTCCCGCTGTCCCCTCTCCCAGCCCTCACCCGATCCTCCCTACCGTGGGGAGCCGGAAAAGCCAGGTAGAAATCGCCTCAGCTGAGGGTTGAGGCAAGGGAGGGAGGGTCCACACCCACCCCAGCTGGGGACGATGCAGAAGGCCGGCGCATCAGGCCGCTCCCGACAGCCCTCGGCATCCAGGGCGCAGAGGGGCCTGCACCCGGGTCCCTGCCAGGCCCGGGCGGCCCCCCGCCGTGGGTGTGGCCTTGTGGGTGGGGGGCAGAGCTGCATGGGCGGGGCCTTTAGGGACCAGCGTGGGTGGGCGGGATCTCGGGGTCGGGCGGGGCCTGGGGCCTAGAAACCCGGACTTGGGGGGGGGGCTCGGGTGGGCAGGGCAGAGCTCACTGTAGAGCTGCACCATGGTGCTGAGCGCCCCCTGCAGCTCCTTGTAGATGTAGACCACCGCGAAGGAGCTGTAGTCCACATCCGCCACGCGCACGTCCAGATAGCCCAGGGCTGTGGAGGCGATCGAGTGGGGCCACGGGCAGGGTCACCGACCCCCGCGCCAGCCCCACCGCTCCCGCCTTGGCCCACCTCCCAGCGCGCAAGACCTACCTGGGACCTTGAAGTGCCCCTCAGAGCCCACCTTCAGATACTGGACGTCCATCTGATTGCAGCCATCCGCCCTGGGGTGCAAGACCCGTCACTGCCTGCCCGGCAGGCTCCTCCCCTGCCCCCCAGGCCCTGCTGCTCACCGGGGGACCTCGATGTGCACGCTCAGGTCGCCCCTCGCCGTGGCATTGACGTCTCTGGTGGACATCAGCAGGTGGTCCTTATTTTCCAGGAAGACCTTGCAGTCGGACACCATGGAGACCACATGCCAGAGGCCAGAGAACTGCGGGGACAGCTCATTGACCGCCAGGCTGGACAGTTGGACCTCCCGAGCCAGGGCCAGGGACAAGCCAAGGGCCAGAGAAGTAGGGAATTGCCCAGAGTCACAGGTGAGCTCTTAGACAGGGTGGACAGGAGTCCCCATTGCCCAGGCCAATTCCAGACCAGAGGGACATTAGGTTCACAACATTCCCAGGCAGAGCACAAAGGGGCTGCTGGACTGTACATTCCTCTCCTCACCCACGGGGTTTACCACAGGAGCCCAGCCTGCACCCACTGGGTGCAGCTCAGGGGCCCAGTACCTTTTTGGCATCAAAGTCAGGCTGTACCAGTACCTCTGCCCCACCCACAGACACCCAGAGCAGCACCAGGCTCAAATGCTCTGGCCTCATGCCCACGCCTTCCCAGCACTAGCATCCTCAGTCCCCAAGCCCAGGACCCCAGTTTTATAGCCCAGCCCAGCCAGGCTGGTGGGAGGAGCCATTTGGGAAGCCTACAGAAAGTGCTTTGGAAACACCAATCCCCCTTTGTCCATTGTGTGGCACAATCACTTAAGTGTCCCCTCTGGTCCCAGGGGTCATTTCCTGGAGGGCTGCAGACAGACAGCTTCTCACCTGACATGCCAGCTAAGGAGTTCCCAAACCTGCCAGGCATGTTCCCCATGCTGGGGCCAGCTGGCCACTGAGCACGGCAGAGGCCTTGTCCTGCCTTCAGGACTCATGCCTGAATGCCTCTGTCCGCACTCCGGCTGGGGCTGGGGGTCCAGGGTCTCAAGGTGCTGCTGGCAATAGCCAGGGTTGGGTCTGCTCTGGTCGGCAGGCCCCTACCTGGGTCTGGGGTACCCAGCAACACTCCATTCTTCTGACCCCCGACTCAGGGACGGGGTCCCCATGGGTCAGGCCTCCGAACCCCGTCCGGGGCCAGAGCCTTGCCAGCCCAGCTGTGGGAGCCTGGGCACCCCCTCCAGACACCCACTCCCCAGCTGCCAGCTGGCTTCCTGCAAATGCACCTGGGACGGGGGGCTGGCGGCACTGGGGCGGATTATGGTATCACAGTGGCCTTATCACCAGTTCCGTAATTGTACAGGGGGAAAGGACGCCAAGGAGGCGCCAGGGCCAGTGGAGCTGGAGCCAGGAAGGGCTCCCTGTGACCTCCGGGTCCACGCTGAGCACCCCAGGCCCTGGCCTGGAGGCACACCACCTAGACCCTCTGGATGCATGCCTGAGGGCTGTCGGGAGGCCAACACCTCCAGTCCCCCAGAGAGGACAGGAACTGAGTCGGAGAAGGACCCCTCAGCCCTCAGCGAAAGGGAGGAAGGAGTGCTTCAGCTCCTGTCCCCATGGGGTCCTGAGGTGCTGTTCCCGAGGGTCCCTGCCACGCGCTGATTCACAGGATAGAAGGCAGTGGCAGGGAGACGGCCACAAAACACCCGATGAAGAACAGAGTCGGGATCTCTGAAGGCCCCTCAAGGCTCAGCCACGAGGCGTGAGCAGCCCAGTCACACACACACACACACACACACACACACACACACACACGCACGCACGCACGAGGAGCGAGAGGTCCGCAAAGCCTTTCTGCCAAGAAAGGAGATGACCAGATGGGGGTCGGCCCGGAAAGAGTGCATCATTAGTCACAGGGACAGCAGATTGAGGCCGTTTTGAGGCCCAATCACACTCCCTACAGAGCATCCAATGTTTTTAAAATAAACACTGGGTCCTGGGAACTGGCGCCTGAGGAGCGGCTGGAACTCAGGCTGTGGGAAGGAGACAGACCCCGGCCCAGGGCCACTCATCAGCAGAGCCGCCTCCTCAGCAAGATTTTCCTGAAAGAAACAAAGCCAGATTACGCCAATCCTGTGCGTGGCTGTTGATGTTGACTCCGTTTATTTATTTTGTTGGCAGTGCTGAGGACTGAACACAGGCTCTTTGCACTGAGTTATATCCCCAGTGCCCTCTATTTTTGAGAGAGAAAGGGGGAGTCTAATTTTCCCAGACTGGGCTTGAACTTGCAGTCCTCCTGCCTCAGCCTCTCAGAGTGCTAGGATTATGAGTGTGCGCCGCCACACCCATAGAGTCGCAATCGCCAGAACCTTGAAGCAACCAAATGCCCTCCTCCTGTGGGTGGAGGGGGACATGTGAGGCAGAGCTGCTCAGGAACAAAGAGGAGCAGACGCCCGGTCCCCATGGCAACACGGCCCACCCCATCCCTGCATCCGGCCAAGGGGAAGGAGCCAGTCTAGAAAGTCCACGCTCCCTGTGACTCCTTTTACCTGAGCTAGAACAGGCCAAGCCTAGGACAGGGCACAGCTCATGGGTCCCACGGGCCGAGAGCAGAGGGGTGTGGGGAGCTCAGTAGCGATGGGCCGCTGTCTGCTTTGGCAGTGGGGCCCCTGGGCAGACGAGCACAGCTGTACAGCGAAGAGGGTGAATCCAGCTATCTCCAGGCTCTTGAAGCATCTACTTGTGCTGTCTTTCTTCTCTTTTTCTTGTTATTAGTACACTTCGGAGTACATCATGGCTACATTCCTCGTGGGAAGTTGGTGATGGACATGACACATAATTCTTTTTATGTCCCCTTCTCCTCCCCTGCCCCTCCACCTCTTGGACCCCTTAACATTTGCAAAAGATCTGGATCTTAGTTATTTTTCTTGTTGCTGAGACAAAATACTCGACACCCAGAGTTAAAAGGGGAAAGGTTTATTTAGCTCAGTTTGTGGAGGTTTCAGTCCATAGTCAGCTGGCTCCAAGGCAGGGTGGCACATGGCAGAGGGAAAACAGTCCATGGCAGATCAAAGGTAGCAAAGCAACTTAACAGCATCTTTCTGCTCCTTTTATCTTATCCAGACTACTTAGGGCAGGTAGTCCTAGCGCCCTTAATCCTAGTGCCCTAGAGCCTAGCATCGCAACACAAAGCAGTCACTCTCTAGGTCCAGCCACTCTGAAAAAGCCCCACCTATGACCACATGAGGCCCTGGAGGGACCTCTAGACCCAGCCATGACAATCTAGTTCCCCGTTTCTTATGACCCTTTATTTTGGTCTTCATTTATACTTTGGGTTTCTCATATAAGAGAAACCATGTAATATTCAAGCTTGTGTGTCTGATTTGTTTCACTTAACACTGTGGTCTCAAGCTGCATCTATTTTCCTACAAATGACTCGTTTATCCTCCTTTATGGCAGAGTAGTTCTCCATTGTGTGTAAATACCACTTTTTCTTCATCTGTTCATCTCTTCATGGACATACAGGCCACTTCCAAGATTTAGCTATTATGAGCTGTGCTGCTATAAATATGGGTGTGCACAGATCACTGTAATGCAATGTCTTTAGCTCTTTGGGGAAGATTCCTAGGAGGAGACTAGCCGGGTCTGAAGGAATTGCCATGTGTGCTGTTTTGCTTTTGGAAGTTCAGTGACCCAAAGTCAGCCTGGCTGATATTAAAGGAAATTTTCAGAAATAAAAAGTTTATACGTTTTAAATTGTGTACCGTTCTGAGAAGCATAATGAAGCCCCACCCCGTCCCACGCAGGACTGAGTCGTCCCTTGGTCCAGCATCCATGCTGACAAATAGCCACTTGTAGGCGACTTCTCTGGTGGCAGAGGTGGGTCCCAGTAACCTTACTGAATAATGGACCCAGGAGTATTAGACAAATGGCAGCACAGTTACAGCTGTTCTGTGTTATTATCGGCTGTTAATCTCTTAAACTGGCTAGTTTGTAAAGCAGACTTCATCTTGGGGATGTAAGTAAGGAAAAAACCTTTTCCAGGTGATCCAAGGTGTCAGGAAAAGATCCCGAGGATGGGGAAATGCTGTAGCCGAGCACTGTCTGCCCCACTGTGCGTGTGTGTGCACACACTCGTGCAGATGGCAAAATCCTCCCCCGGAATGCCATCTCCTGGGTTTAGATCCCAGAAGACCCAAAGGCTGCGAGGTGCAGCAGCCTCTGAGGAAGGTGGGTCACGTGACAGCCCCACAGCTGAGAGGTCACGGGTCCCACAGGCGCTACAGCATCCGGAGGCCACAACCTCCCAGGACCTGACTCGGGCTGAGCCTCGGGAAAGAGAACCAGGACGACAAGGGCCGGGGCACGGCCACTGCAGCCCGCAGGCAGTCCACAGCGCCCGGGCAGCCTCTCGGCAGGGGGAGACGCACCCTGTCAGAGCAGTCTGGTTGGAAGATCCTCCACCCAGGGCCTCCATAAAGACCATCCTTCCCTCACAGGCCTCCCGCCACCCTCTGCAAAGTCCAGCCTCCCGGCAGCGGCCGGAATGAACCCCATAAAGCGCATATCTGGCTCACCTCTGTCTAAAACCTGCCTCACGTGCCCAAGGCAGTGCAGTAAACCCAGCCGCAGCCCGGTGTCTGACACCTTCGCCCAGAAGCCCTCTGCTCCTTCCTCACCCTGCGTCTCTCAGTGCCTCCTGCTCCCTGGCATGCTCCTCGCCCATCACCTGGGCCCAGCACCGGGCATGACCCGTGGTCATGCTCACCGGGCACTGCCTGCACCCCACACATGCGCACTGGGAGCTGTGGGCCTGGACGGAACTGAACGGACAGCGAAGACTGGAGGGCGGCCTGTCGGTCTGGGAGAGTACGTGGCTAAACCACACCACCCTGCCAGTCAGGGCCTCACAGCACCAACACAGGGCGAGCTACCAGGGCCTGGCATGGGGCAAGGGCACCACACACCTGCTATATTCTCAGGAGGCCAGTGGGGAGGCTCAGGACAAGCAGGTGGACACACGTCCTTGGGTGCCAGGTGCAGCCCATCAGTGGCCCCGGGGTGGCACCTGAGGGCCATGTGTGCATGCCCCTGGGCTGGGATGGGGTCCTCAAGCAGGACAGTTGTGCTTCTCAGTGGTGCCAAGCCTACAGCTTGGCACTAACTATGTGTGTACACCGTGATTATAAGGGAGGAAGGCTGCTTCCTGCTATGCCCTGGTGGGCCTTGAAAACACCCTCCGTGAAGGCCAGACCCCTGTCTCCTGCCTCGGGGAGAAGGAGCTGAGGATACACTGTGCCAGACCAGTGAGCGCCTCTTGGCTCATCCACATGACTGCCGACTGGAGGCCAGGCTGTGGCCACACAGGGGTCATACTTGGCTGCTTGGCTCTCAGGGCCCAGAGCTGAGGATGTGCTAGCTGGGGCAATGTCCTGACCAGCTGCACCATCCGCCTTCTTGACACCTCCTCCTCTTCAGGAGAAAGTGGGCAGGGTGTGGACTTGGCCCCTGAGTCCCTGCTCCTGGGCCCAGGCTCATGGCCACAGGCCATCCCGCTGCCCCGTGGCTTTTCCAGTGACAAGAGGACAGCTCTTCAGACTTCTTCTGGAACTAGGACTCCTACAAAAGAGCCTTTCCCAATCAGGGCACAGAGTTCTGGATGGGCAATACCAACCTGCAGCTGCTCACAGCTGGAGGTGAGGCTGCAGCACCTGGCCAGCCCGTGCTTCCCATCAAGCGGGGCAGGTTACCCTCCCAGACCCTGCCCTCTGCCAGCCTGGGCTCAGCCCTCCCTCCTTCCCACCCACAGGGCCAGGGTGCCAGGAGCTCTGGTTGATCTGAGGGATTTTCAAGGTGACCCCTACGCCAAGTACAGCTTGTTCCAAATGTCCAGAGAGCAGAAGTATGAGCTGGTGCTGGAGCACTGCAGGCAGATCCCCTAGGAAGCTTGGGCCCTCACTGGGGACACATATGGGCCCTGCAAGCTGCCCATGCCCAGCAGCGCTCTGCCCAGGCCCTGCAAGCTGATGGTGAGGCTCTGTCCAGAAGACCCCTGGTCAAAGCATGGGGCTCTGTGGTCCAAGACCCGGGAGCAGGACAACCACAGGAGCGTCTTGAAGAACTGTGCATCTGTGTCCAAGAGTGCTGCCTGCCTGGGGCCACAACAGCTATGCCAGTGGCATCAGCTGGCTGTCGGGCCGGGGACACAGCTACTCCTACAAGGTTCCTGCTCCTACAAAGATCCAGGCAGCCTAAGCTGCAGAGGACAGGCCCCCAGGCCAGGCCACAAGGGGACACTGCTGGGAGGGGTCCCATAAAGCCACAGACACCAGGGTGCTGTCTGTGGTGCCTCACCCCGCCCCTTACCCTCACTCCTGGGCTCCATACAGCACTTGAGCCAGCATTCGAGGCCCACAGTGAACTCAGCATCAACAAAGACCAGAGAAGCCAGGCATACTGGCACAGGCCTGTGATCCCAGCACTTGGGAGGCTAAGGCAGGAGGATTGCTGAGAATTTGAGGCCAACCTGGGCTACATAGTGAGTCCAAGGCCAGCCTGGACTACGCAGTGAGACCTTGTCTCAAAAAACAAACAAAAAACCCAAACAAACAAAGACAGAGAAGCACATGTGGGGCCCGGGCCAGGAGACAGGTCGAGGGAGAGCCCAGGCTCGAAGCCCAAACCAGAGGCCACCAAAACCACTGTGGCCTCTTCACAGAGCACAAGGGGGAGGCAGCTGGGTCCTTCCATGGACCACTTCCAGACCCATAGGAATAGGAGGGATAGGGATAGGAGGAAGAGGGGAGCCCAGCTCGGCCCCCCACAGCCCTGCACACACCCTGCCCCCAACCAGCAGCCTCCTCTACCACCACAGCTCCACGGGGACCGCAGGCAGGGTGGCCAGCGCTGGGCACAGGCTGAGAGCCAGGCAGTGCAGGAGAACAGCCTAGGAGCCCTGTACAGTGGCCTGGCTGCTGAGCAGAGGAAATCTGACCGGCAGACATCGGACATGTCCCTCGCCTCAGGCACAGGGAAACTGAGACGTGTGCCCATCACTCCCAGGAGACAAGGCACCCCCTCCCCAAGAAAGGCCAGAGGGCGAGGCCTGGGGTGCAGCCCAGCAGCTCTGGGTAGCAGGGTGGCAAAAACATACCCCAGGCCAAGCAAGTGAGCACAAGGCAAGGAACCCACAGGTAGTAAGTAGATCAAGGACTCCCCACCCTCGCTCACCATTCACCCAGCTTGAGAGGGGCCTTGGGGTCAAAGGGGGTCCTGCAGGGAGGGTGCAGCTGGGCCAGGAGAAGGGCCCACGAGGGAGGGGGCAGCAGGTGCAGGCAGGGTCGGGGCAGGGCTCAGCAGCGTGGGCTGGACACCTGTGGCTCACCGGCTCTGCTGACCCAGGGCAACCAGCCGGCTCAGTGAGGGCAGGGCGTGACTTTTCCGTGAACCTCCAGCTCCCAGCACAGAACTGGCACCATAAATGGGCTTAACAGTGGTTTTGGAACTGCTTTGCTAAACATTAATTTTAACCTCACAACTCCGCGAACCCTTTCAAGAAACTCAGTACTTGACCGCAGTCCGGAAACAAGACCCCATCCGTACAAATAAGACTGCAAGCCGGGGTTTTAGCTCAGTGGTTTGGCCGCCTGCTGTGCAAGCGCAAGTTCAATCCCCGGTACCAAAAAAAAAAAAAGACGGCAAAGCGCCACGCCCGCGCCGCTCGGCCCACGCTGACGCTGCTTTACGTGAGCCTGCCCTCCAAGCTCCGCCCCCGGGCCTGGGCCGCCACATAGCCAGGCCCCGCCCTCCCTAGCCACGCCCCTCTCCTCCAGCCCCCCCCCCCCGGTCTGGTC